TTTTGGATTTTCAATAACTCCCCAAATCCCTTGTCAGATACACTATTCTTTGCCTTCTATTGCAGCAATTCCAGTGTGGTACCCAACTTTTTCTGTCCCGCATCACAAGTTGGGTATAGCAATTTCTTGTGATCCTCTAGCATGCGCTCGAACTTGATCTTCTCCTTTTCACTTTCGCATTCTCTTTATACGTCACGAATGGCCTGACCAAGATTATCAGCGGGCTCATCTTCTGCCACTACTTCTTCTTCAGCTTCCCCCATTGCAGTATCATTGAAGGCACCATATTTAGCAATAATGTCATCATCGTCCCATTGTTCTTCTTCACCTTCTTCCATTACAACTCTGGTTTCTCCGTGCTTCGTTCAACAAATATAGTTTGGCATGAAACCCGACTTCAATAAGTGTGAATGAAGACTCCTTGAGCTAGCATATTCCTTCAAATTCTTACATATGGCACATGGGCAGCACATAAAACCATCGTGTTTGTTTGCCTCGGCTACACGTAAGAAAGAATGCACGCCCTCAATGAACTCTTGGGAGCGGCGATCAGCATTGTACATCCAATACCGGCTCATCTGCATTACATGACATACATACCATATTAAAACCTAAAATATAATTAGTTAATTATACGACATGCATGTCACCACACAAGGTATTAATTTATGAAAGTCTCGCTATAATGTAGACAATCCCAACTACCACTAAAAAAACTAAAGCTAAAATGCACTTCAGCAGCATAAGGATTTTGTGACCAATCCCAACTAAAACAGATAGATCATGCGTTTGTTCAACATTTATGGGCTTCTGTCGCAGGATCACTGCCTCATCAGCCGTCGTAGCCGCCTGTGCAAGAGAGTTTTGCACGTGTTCAACATACTCTTCCTCCCAGTACCAGCCTGAACATCCAGTGCCATCCCACTAAAATTAAAACAAAAAATTAGAACTTTAATCACAATCATCATGAAAATAAGTATATATTAACCATAATCATCAAATGCGACAAAATAACTCATGTTGCGATCCGGACACTTGTAAAAGATACGGCCCTTGTTGGGACACTCCTTCCTCACCCAGTACTCCATCACAATCTTCTCCTCACACTTGCCGCATGCAATGAGAGGGAGGTCCAGCCTTAGTCGCTTTGGAACCCGATGAGAGGCCGAGGACCCGGAAGCGGTTGACATCTACTCTCTATACTCATTTTTAATATAATATAAATTTCTCATTTTATAAACAAATAAAATTAAAAAAACTCTAAAATTCTCTATATCTCTAAACTATGAAGTGTGCTATGCATGCTAGAAATGAAAGCGGAATACTAGTTTTGAATAACTACTTTAACCTTTCTTCATCCAAATATACAAACTTTAAAGTGATTTTGAGCTTAAATGGCTTATAAATAAAAAAAAATCCACAATAAAAAACCACATATATCTTGTCCACAAAATGAGATATGCTACTGATGAAACATGAGAGTATAAAGTTGTTAACCTTTAGAACCAGAGAATCGATGGAGGAATCGAAGAAATCTTATGATTACCGGCGATGACGAAGAAGAGAGGCCGACGATGAAGCAAGAACACTGAGCTCGAAGTGGCTCGGGCTCGGGGAGGAAGAAGGCCTATATAGGAGGGGACCTTTAGTCCCGATTGGAGACAGAAACCGGGACTAAAGGTCCCTTTCTAGTCCCGGACAGAGCCTCCAGCCGGGAGTAGACTTTTACTCCCGGTTTGAGGTAGCAACCGGGAGTAAAAGTTAATCTTTAGTTCCGGTTGGTAGCTCCAACTGAGACTAAAGGTCCCCTACAGCAAAAGCCTGCCGCAGTAGCCGTTGGGCAGAGACCTTTAGTCTCGGTTGGAGTTACAAACTGGAACTAAAGGTCTCTCTAGTTCCAGGCGCGAAAAATACCGAGACTAAAGCCAAATTTTGAGCTGGATCAAAGGTCGTTTCTCTACTAGTGGTGATGCTTTCATGATGTGTGCAGACTATAGCTATGTTAGTGACGGATTCAAGATTTACTTAATTAAAATAATAACATAACAGAGATAGTAACAATCTTTAAGCAAGGATGTTATTAATTATTTCTAGAAAACAAAAATAAAACTTTACTCCAATAAATTATTTTAGGTATGCACGCACGGCTACTTGTCATGCAACATGCAGGGGCCTGCCTTCTGTGAGTGTTGCTGCAGCATAGCGTGGATGCACTTGAGACATCTTGGAATGGCATCTTCTAACCATCAACGATACTATCCAAATAAGAAACCATCACTGCTGGAAACACAAATACTCCTGTGTGTGTAAAAACCTACAGAAAAATATGAATACCCACAGAAAAATATTTTTCTGATGGCGTACCGTCAGAAAATAACACACAGAAATAGAATGACAGAAAAATCGAGTTCACCATTAGAAATAGTTTTTCTGTCGGTCTTCCACACACAGAAATAGGGGCAGTGGAGATCGGCGGAGAGACGAGGGGGCATCGCGCCGGGACGTGAGCCGGACAGGAGGGAGACCAGGGGCAGTGCGCCGCCTGGGGATGCTCCTGGCCGGCCGGTGGCCGCCCTAGGGCCACGCCGGGATGGCCGGCAGCGGGCCTAAGGCCACGGCTGGAAGGCCACCCACGGGGCTGGGGCCGCGCACCGGAGGGGCTACGGCCGCCGGCGGGCTGGTGGCAGAGAACGACGTTGAACCGACGGCGAAGGTCCTTGGTGCGGCAGTTTGCAGATCTAGGCGACGACGGACCTAGGGCAGCGGGCGGCGGCCATGGAGCTGGGGTGTCTAGCAGCGGGCGGCGGCCAAGGAGCTAGGGTGGCTAGCGGTGGGCGGCGAGCGGCGGCGGGAGTTCAAGCGACGGGACTGCGACGGGAGCCGGGAGCGATGGGACTGAGGGAGTTCGAGCGGTCTCGTGCGTAGTTCGGGTGCAGGCGGCGCGTTTTGGAATAGGGTGGGGGTGGCGGCTGCGGGAGGATTTAGTTTTAGGGGGTTCTTGGTTTTTTATTTTTATTTTTTTCACTTTCTTTTCAATTCTATACCGCGCCAATGTCAAAAGGCAGGCCCCAATTCCGAAAATAGAGCGCCAAAGCCAAATCCATTTGCGGAACATATTTTTTTCTATGCGTACGTAATTTTAATCTGTGTGTAAACCAAAAACCCATAGAATAATCGCAATTTTCATGTGCGTGTGTCGTTTTTCTGCGAGTCTAAAAAAACCGACAGAATAATTTCTATTTTTCTGTGGGTCTGCATTTTTTTTGTGTGTATTATCACTCACAGAAAAATAACTCAATTATTCTATCGGTATTTCGATCTTTCTGTCAGGATTTTTTGAAACTCACAGAATAATTCCAATTTTTCTATGTGTTCCGAGAAAAACGTACAGAAAAAAACATCACCCATGGGAGTATTCAAGTTTCCAGCAGTGCATTGTAGTTTATAGGACGAGCTCACATTGTAGCTGACACACACTGCACCATGCATATTTTCCATGTTTTTATGTCGACCTGTCATATACTTAGGCATAAAACCAGTGCGCTAGGGCTGGTGCCGTGCTCCACCAAGCACTAAATTTGAGATACCCTGCCCGAACTTAGGCATTAAATTGTGTTGTCAATCTTGAAACTAGCCAAATAGAGAGTATGTGGTTTTGACTAGATTATCTGTGGACAACAATTGTGAGGAATGCTTCTACAAGATCCTTGCTTGTGTCAAAACCTATTGTCGGTGTCAAATGCTCATATTTCGGGGCATACTGAAGTTTGGGTATGGTAAGATCTGACTTGCAAAGAAATTGGGTTCAATGAGAGAGAGAGGTAAAATATGAGTGCGATGGGGAAGCCTATTTAACCATAGTGTGTTGATTCAGTTAACTTGGCCATTTTTCTTTTCTTCCTTATACAAAAACAGGAGTTTAAGTACAGCTAAGGATATATTTGCAAAGTCATAAACAGTTCTTAGCTTGTGTACTCACTTAACTAAAACAATAAAAACATACAAGAAACATAACCATGTAACTGAAGGCTGGATGAAACTTGGAAGCAAGGTCAACTAGAAACCCTTTATCGCACATAGTTTCAGTCTCATATGGCTGCATCGTAATTCCATGCATCACCTCCCCCATAAGAGACTCAAAATTAAAAAGGTAGATTAAAGTAACTAGATGAGACGAACTGTTATCATGGCAAGAAGCAAGAAACAAGGCCTAGTCACTGACATCTAGCATTTCTTTGTCTGGATCGAAATAGAACAAATTCTGTTGGCGGGATAGTGGGGAAAATGAGCTTGAGTCCCCCTCACTTTACCCCTTCTCCACATTTGGACTATGTAGACATTATTTTCTAGCATGAGAGCAACAAAAATTGGTGAATGGAATAAATACATACAATTATCGGTGCAGAATAAAAAGGATGTCAAACAATGCTACACTGCAGTGGAGGTAAAAATAAAAACATAGCCTTGGAGCTAGTTATGAAGAAACCAATGAATAACAAATGGAACATCGTGTCCATTGCTCTAGCAGATTACCAAGCTAGTGATGCAGAAACCATAACTAGCTCGTGGCTCCCCATTCGAAACACTAGGAACCAATATAACATAACACCTAAGGGGCTGCAAAAAAAAAGAGATTTGAAGGTCACGAAACAGGAATCATCATACAAAATCAAGAGATTGAGGGAAGGGGGGGGTAAGTTATAAACTTCATGGTGTTTAGGGGGGAGGGTGTGGAGATAAACCCTTATCTGGGGTGTTTTTTAATCATATCTTTTAAGGCACACACTGCATGGTGGGGACCAAAAAAGGGGAAGGACAAAAAATGTGTAGAGAAAATGACATAGAAGAGGAGATAAAGATGAGTTACCCTCACGCAAGGTAATAGCCCCTTCCCCCTATAAATGTCCCTTTCCCACACTTCTATCTCCATCACCAAATAATCTCGAATAAGCTCACTATATCTGGAGTAGAGCTCACCCTTCACCCAACAGCACACATCCATGGATTTCTCTAAGCCCACAGCAAGTGAAGCCTCCATGGAACTTGGGCCAGGGTTTAAGTTTAAACCCACTGAAGAGGAGATCGTGATGCGCTACCTTCGTCCACGTGCGGTGAATGAACCACTCCCCTCAACATTCATTGTTGATGTGGATATCCTAAGCCGCAACCCTTGGGACCTAGTACCAGGTCATGTGCACATACACCAACCTTTTCCAACAAATACATCTACAAGTTCCTTTTAATTTCATTTGATTGCTTCTGCTACAATCTGATCTAATCTATGTATGGCTAAAAATTCCCTGCTTGGTTGTCTTGTTTTTATTGTTGTATGTACACAGAGGGATCTGTGGAGAAATACTTCTTTTGTCAAAGAGTACAAAGATGGACACATGGAAACCGGTACAATCGTGCAGCAGGTGATGGACACTGGAGGGCATCGGGTAAAGATGTGCCCATCTTTAGCATTATCATCAATGGTGGAATACCTTTGATGGTTGGGCTAAAGAAAACACTGGTGTTCTACCTTGGCAAGGCAGGAGCTGGTGAGAATACAGAATGGGTCATGCAAGAATATAGCCTTGTTCAAGCCGGCCTCACACCCTATCCTGTGATTGGGCCCAATGGAACCAATAACTTAGGAGAACACAGTCTTGATGCAGTGGCAATCACAAAGGTATATTGACTCAAAATCTAAATAATTTTGTTCTTCAATACTATTGGTTGACATATATCATTAGGAGGGGGGGCTATACATGATATTCTTCATGGTTTAAAAGTGAATCTTACTACTTGGTCTGACAAAATTTCTTGTGTGGGGAAATAGTTAGTTGTCCTCGCGGGATTCTTCGAAGATTTAAAATTTTGATGTAAAAAGGAGTTCGTTGTCGGTTTGCTCGAAAGTAAGCTTGACTAGTCCGACCAACATGTGTCGGTAACTTATTTCTCGTGGAATTGTTGATGTAACATCTCAAGCATTGGGCCTATTTCCTAACATTCAATTGTTTATAGAGAACATCTAAAAACTGTCTTATTCAATAATCTTCATCATTTTCACTTGTGAGAAAGACACATAATAAAAAACTCATTCATGCTGTCCAATTTGGTCAGTTGTAAAATTAGTAACCTCAAACTTAGCTTTTGCTGCCAAGCCTAGCTGCTGTTCTATGTAAAACAACATTAGTATTCACCATGTTTTACCCATTTTCACATAAAACAACACTACATAACAAATAGTTTTGTGAACTCTCTGTAGAAAAAGGATAATCTCTCTGAAGCTCTCTGCAATGCTACTACAAGTGTGCCCGAGGTTGTTCCTGTCATGATTAATCCAGATGACTCCTGGGTTGTCTGTCACATCTACAAGAAGAAGAAGCGTGCACCACATGCCATTGCCCAACGTTACAATCTTGCAGATGGAGGGCAGGTCCGCTTCTTCAACTTCCTTGGGCAGGGTAATTCAGATGGAACTTCTAGCTCAGGCAGCCGCGCCGACATACCAATAGAGAAGGCAAAGGATAATAATGAAGGTGGGTGCGGAACCAACGACAAAGATGATATAAATGAGGCAGGGAAGTAATTTATGTTGGCTGCAATAGTGCTGTAGCGTAGGCAATGGCATCTTGTAATAAGGTGTTGGAGTTAAACTTCAAGAGATTACCACCAGTTGAGTTTCCTTCAGTTATGTTTATTTCAAGTAATAATGTGCCGGCAGACTTTGGTCTATGCAGTCTTAAATGTTGTATGTCGCTAAGATATTACAACATATATTGAAGCTATGATTTTCATTATTGGAAATACTTTGTTTAGTATCCTAACGAGATATATGAAGTTCACACTGGCTTTTTGTATTATGTTTGTTAATTATAGAAATTTTCTTTTTGTTTATCTTTGTTAACTATTATTTTTGTTTATAGGATCATAAAAGTATACCAAGAATACTTGATTATCCTAAAGGCTTGACAAGATTAGACATTATAAAAGGACCTAGTGCAAATGTATGTAAACTCACCTCATGCCAAGTGTACTATTTTTCATTTTAGGACATTAATTACACCAACAAAAATAACCCTAATTAATTTCTTACCAAGCTACATGTTTTCATGCTCTTGGCATCATTACCCACAGGATGCCTACTTTACTCAAGGAAACACAAACAAGCACAAAAAGAGTGCCATAGAGCAGATGGACCAAATTGAAATTTGTGATTAAAAAGGGCAAAAGGACACAATAAAGATAGAGAGAACAATACAACACCCATCTTAGTAACTTTTTGTCCCTATCTATCAATACTTTATTATAAGATTTCTGTACGTGTGATGTGTAAAAGTGTGTAGATAAAGAAAAACATGCATGGGACAAGAGTGATGAGTCATTACACTGTCGTGCACTATGCACAAGAAAAGAAGGGCGAGACAGGGGCTATCTAATCATAATTTGGCAAAAAAAATGTGAATAGCCTGAAATATAGGGAATTGGATAGTGCACGCCCATCATACTACAAGCCATCCACACACACACACTCATTTTAGACAACAAACAAAACTACCAGGCCCGTTTTCATGTTTTATGGAATCGCTGTATTTCCCATGTTGGATCCTGATTGCCACCACTTGCTTGATAAGGTGGTGCCGGCACCAAGATTTGCCAAAGGAGCATGTAAAATTATGCAAAAAAGACAGGTATGAATCTCGCCTAGATTTTCTTTTCCCCATGCATTTCTGAATCAAATAAACACAAAAAGAGTAAAGTTCATAGCCGGTCCTTGAACTTGCGGAGGTGTGTCATCCTGGTCCCCGAACTCAGAAAGTGTGTCATTCTGGTCCTTAAACTTTGTTTGGGTCTCATATTCATTCAAACGGGTATGAATTTGTACCCGCGTGCAAAGATAAGACTTCATTGCTTGAAATAAAAGATTATTGGGGGCTATAAACAAAATCGTCCAGATACATAAATTAACTAAATATTTACAAGCTTTGTAAGGGGTTATTTTGAAAAAAAAATTTGCCTTCTTCCACGTTAGCAAGGCTAGCTGCGCGAGCTCATCCCACCGCCGCCGCTGCCGAGGAGGCAAGCAGGTGAGGCAGGCGCAGGTGAGGTGCCGCCACCGCGGCGGCGGACTGGGCCTACGCGATAACTCCAGGTTTGTTTGGTTTCTTCGTGCTCGTATCCTTCCTGCCTCTCCTTCTATTGCTTCCAGGCAGCCTAGTCTTCGCCACCATGGACGAGCTGCTGTAGCTAGGGAGGAGGGTGTGGTGACCCTAGCCGTGGGAATGGTTGCCGGTGACCACACACGGCGACGAGCACGGCGGCGCCATCTCAAGCAGATAGCACGGGAAGGGAAAGAGAGGTTTAGGAATTTGGTTTGTTATTTTCATTGTCCTCCCAACCACCCACACTACGAGTTTCATAGAGTCACCTTACATGGGTTCAGCCCAGATGCCCCCACGGCCCAAGCTGACTTATAGGCCCAACTGGTAGCAAACGACTTAACATACTTAGATACATAATATCAGTTCATGACACTCTCCCCCCCTTAAGGCACAACGCGTCCTCGCAATGCTGATGGAGTAGAAGCAAACTTGTCGGTCTTGGCCCTCTTGGCAGACTTGGCGGACTTGATGCGCTTTGACGGTGGCTTCGCTTCCTAGGTTGCCCAATGGCATGGACAATCTTGATGTTGCACCAGGTCAACTGGAAGCACATGGCGGCCAACAAGCTTCAGTAGAGACACCAACACCTGCTCAAAAGCCAAGCTTTGAAATGTTGTTAGTAGATTCAGGGTATTGTCACCAAAGAGAGACACCATGGGTAAGGCCTTTTTCAGTTGCGAGACATGGATCACCAGATGGATCTTACTGGAGTCCGGCAATTGCAGTTTGTAAGCCACTTGACCAACCTTCCGAAGAATCAAATAAGGACCAAAGTCCTTAAAGCTGAGTTTGTTGTTGGAACGATGTAGCACTGACTGCTGAATGTGGGGTTGCAATTTGACATAAACCCAATCACCAACCTCAAAAGATCTATCTTGCCTGTGCTTATCAGCCTGTGTCTTCATCTTGTGCTGAGCTCGTGACAAGTTTTGCTGAATGTGTTGCATCATGGTGTTTCGGTCTTCCAGCCATTGTTTCAAATCAGTCACAGTGCAAGCATCATTAACAGAGATACCGAAATACCGAGGGGGTGACCATGCAGTGCTTGAAATGGTGTTAAGCCATGAGCTGAATGAAAAATGGAATTGTACCCAAAACTCTGCTAAAGCAATCCACTGGGCCCATTTGGTAAGACAAGAGTGCACCATGCAGCCCAAATAGGTTTCTAAGCATTGGTACAAACGTTTAGTTTGACCATCGGTTTGGAGGATGACAGGAGGAGCTCATGTTCAAGGTAGTGTCAGTGAGCTTAAAAAGTTATTGCCAGAATGTGCTAATGAATATTCTATCACGGTCAGATTTGATAATGGATGGCATACCATGCAATTTATATATATTTGTGACAAATGCTTGGGCTACTGTTGCAGCAGTAAGGATGAGATAGGCAAATAAAATGTGCATACTTTGTCAATTTGTCAATGACAACAAGAATGGTATCAAATTTTGTGGATTTGGGTAAGCCTTCTATGAAGTCTAAGCTGATAGTATGCCAAGCAGTGGGTGGAACAGGCAAGGGTTGCAAGAGGCCAGGCAATCTACAATGCTCAGGTTTGGCTTGGGCACATACCTCACAAGCAGCTACATACTCTTGGACATCCTTCTTAAAATTGGGCCGAGCAAAGAGGGCTTTCACCTTTTGATAAGTGGTAGTAATACCACTATGACCACCAAGACCACGAGAGTGAAGGGCTAGAAGGACTGCTTGATGAGCTTCTTTATGCTATCCCAACCATATTATGCCTTTGTACTTGATGATGACATCAACCAAGGAAAAGCCCTTGTCATTTGAACCAGTGAGAGCTAACTCAGATAGAAGTTGTTTTGCATTGTCATCTTGTTGGTATCCTTTAGTAATGATCTCCACCCCACCTTGGGGTGATAGAAGATATTGCAGAAAGGTGATCTTGGTCTAGTTGCCTAGATAGGACATCTGCAGCCTTATTGTATAGGCCCTTCTTGTATGTTATCTTATATTGCAAGCCCAATAACTTGATAAATGCTTTCTGTTGCATACCCTCTAGTAACTTTTGATCTCCCAGATGGATAAGACTTCTATGATCAGTGAGAATAGTGAATTATTTTTGTTGTAAATATGATTTCCATTTAGTGACAGCCAATATGAGAGCCATGCATTCTTTCTCATATGTTGACATTGCCTAAGCCTTGGTACCTAAGGCCTTACTGATGTAAGCTATTGGATGAATATTTTGAGATAGCACTGCCCCAATGCCAAAAGATAATGCATCTATTTCAATAGTGAAGCAATTGCTGAAATCAGGTAATGAAAGAACTGGTGCTGACACTAAAGCTTGCTTCAAAGTATCAAAGCTGAGCTGTGGATCAGAATTTCAGTGAAAGAGTGTATGCTTTTTTACGAGATCTGTCAGAGGTCTACTGATTGAGCCAAAGTTCTTGATGAACTTTCTATAGTAACCTACCAGGCCTAAGAAGCTTCTGAGTTATTTAACATCCTTAGGAGTAGGCCAAGTGGCAATAGCTTGAGTCTTAGCTGGGTCCGTTGCTACACCTTGGGCACTAAGATGTGACCCAAATATTCTAAAGATTGCTGAGCAAAGGAACATTTGGATTTCTTTAGATATAGGTTGTGCTGCTCCAAAATGTTGAAGACTTGTTTGAGATGTTCAAGTGATTTTCCAATGAGGTGCTGTAGACCAGGATATCATCTATAAAAACTAGGACACACTTTCTATGGAGAGGTTGTAGAATTGTGTTCATGATGGCCTGAAATGTAGCAGGAGCATTATTGAGGTCAAAAGGCATAACTCTGAACTCCCAATGTCCATGATGAGTTCTGAATGCAGTTTTGTGTTCATCTTCAAGCTTAAGTCTGATTTGATGGTAACTAGACCTCATATCCAACTTAGTGAACCATGCAGCCCCATGTAATTCATCCAAAAGTTCAACCACTATAGGTAGAAGGTACTTATTCTTGATTGTGATGTTGTTTAGTTGCCTGTAATCTACATAGAACCTCCAAGATCCATCCTTCTTCTTGACCACAATGACTAGGGAGGCAAATGGGCTTTGACTAGGCCTGATAATACCATTATTGAGCATCTCTTTGATCTGCCTTTCAATCTCATCCATCTGTGTTAGAGAGTATCTATAAGGCTTGATGTTGACTAGTTTGACCCCAGACATAAGAGGAATATGATGATCAAATTCCCTTGATGGAGGTACTGAAATATGTCACACCCCAAATTTCCAGTTTTGGGATGTGGCTAGAAAACACTAAAAAACAAAAGATCTTTACTATTTTCTAAAATATCCAACTTTACTTAAGTTGTCCACAATTTAGATGTTGGAAAATTTGAGTTTCTATTTTTTTTGGAATGATATGTTGCGCTTCTTGGCGTCACATAGTGTTTTTGTATGAAAAATGAGTTTAAATGTTTTCCAAGCACGC